CAGCGACAGTCTTGGAAGGACGTGTGGGGCGGATGTGATGACGAACCCCCCCTCCCCCTCCTCGCCCAGAGCGTTCATGCTGATGGTGATGGTGACCACATTGCTGAGATGTGCGGCCTATGTCAGGCTGGTCCGCGTATGCCTCCCTTGAGCATTGCTGCCCTTCGGCAAGCTGCGCAGTGTTTCTCGGGGCGTGCGGCCCTAGGGCCAGATCAGTTCAGACCTCGTCGCTGGTCTTTGGCCTCCAATGGGGCCCTGGCTGTCGTGGGACATCTACTACATCTCTGTGAGGTCTTTGGGGCATGGCCCACGGTTATTAGACATATACACATTATCCTACTGGGCAAACCGACAGGCGGGTATCGACCTATTGCGCTGCTACCATCTATATATCGCGTGTGGGCCCGTGCCCGACTGGCCTGGGTGAGGGCCTGGGCGTCGCGATTATATCGCCCATACCTTGCGTTTGGCCCCCAGCGACCTACGACAGACGTTGCAGCTCGTGTGATGGTCACAGCGGAGGCAGGTGGGCACTTGCAGCCAGAATCTCAGGCACCCGCGCACGCGATCGTTGACATAGCGAAGTGCTTTGATAAAGTACCCGGGCCGTTGCTGCTGCGTGCGGGTATTCAACAAGGCCCCCCAGGCACCATGCTCCTCCTCGCCTTTAGGATCTACATGTGTGGCCGACGCCTGGTGTGGGACAATTGCTACTCGGACGTTGTTTATGCGCAGTGTGGTGTATTGCCAGGATGTGCGATGGCTATGTTTGCCCTTCGGTGCGTCATGCTTGCCCCCTTTGATCACCTTACGCACGGCACTATGGACATCCCACGTAGCCTCGACGTGTATGCGGATGACATTACGGTTCACATCTATGGCATGCTACGACACATCGGCTCATGGTCTCAGCGGTTTCCACGGCTTCTGGTGCAAGTACTCAGGGCTCTAGGACTCCCCCCCCCCCCCCCCAGCTGCCCACAAGATGAGGCTCGCTGGCTCCATCCCTGCGCTGGGCGCGCATCTGGCCCACCAACTTCGGGACCTTGGGTATGTCTACGAGGAGGCGTTGGAAGTTCTTGAGGTCGAAGTCTCGGGTCGCCCAGTACGCTACAGAAGGCTGCGACAACGTGTGAGGGGCGTTGCCAGTCGTCGCCCACGCTTCGTCCCCCTACGCAGAGCTGGCCCCCTCCTCAGCCGATTCCACAAGCAGGCGCCCCCACCAGCTTTGACCTATGGCCTAGGCGTTCACGGAGCCCTCCCTCGACTTGTGGAGCAAATGCGAACGGCTCAGCGAGGTGTGTGGCACGCCCCAGGCTCCAGGACATCGCGCTGGCTCACATCATGCTTGCAGGGATCGGCATGCACTGATCCCCAGGTGGAGGCTTGGGCCGCGCCGCTGCATCAATGATCTCTTCTTTTTCGCGATCCGCAGGTGCCCCGCCGTACCTTACAATCAGCATGGCTTCGCCAGATCCAGAAGATCTATCACTCCCCGCACCCGTGGCGGCATGTGTCGGGCCCCGCTGGCGCTACAGCGCTTGCACTACGGGAGCTTGGGCGAGCCGCCGTTAGCAGCACCATTTGGAGGACTGATCAAGGGGTCAGAATCAATGTCCGAGATGAGGCACCGTCCACCATCCGTCAGCTTGCTAGAGATGCAGGGGTTTGGCGCCCATGGGAGAAGTGGGCCCAACGGTCGCCGCTTCCAGGGTATGATCCTATCCCTCGGGAGCCCACCTGCTACTGGATCGAACCAAGATTGCAGATCCTCTCCCAGGTCGACATGCCTGAAGACGACGACTCGGGGTCTGAGGACGACCCCGACGATCATGATCATGATGATGATGATGAGCGCCCGACCCCACCCCCTGTAGGACCCAGCCCCTTTGCCACTAAATGGAATCCCTCTCACAAGGAAGCAGGTCTCCTACGTGCGTATTTGGGAGGTGGTCTTTGGAGCCCGTCACGGCTTGCGAAGTGTTGCTACAGGGATACCGACTCATGTCCACGATGTGGGGTGGCGCCATGTGATCTGTATCACATTGTACATGAGTGTTCTCCACTGGACAGCGCCAACAGTACATGTCTCATATCCGCACGGATGGGTTTCCCACGCAGGCACGTGACTCCATGTTGCGGTCGTCAGGACTCGTCTCTCGCTCTTGCTTTCCCCCGTTGCCACCGCGGGACTGCACTGGGCACTGGCGCATCCAATACGGCGGCCCGCAAGGCATCACAGGCAGCATTTACACGGATGGGGCGCGTCAGCGCATGTGGTATTGGCCTGAGGCCACACGAGCAGGATGGGGTTTCTGTCACTTGAGTGAGCCGCCGCCTGGGGTAGACATTCTTGTGTATGGGGCTCTCCCGGGCCCCATGCAGTCCTCGCCCAGGGCCGAGCTTTACGCTTTCCTTCAGGTTCTCCAGGTTTGCCTTCCCCTTGTTTGTGTGCACACCGACTCCGAAGGCCTGGTCGACGGCCTTGCCCTTGGAGCCCGCTGGTGCTGCGCGCCTCGGCGTTGAGCGTCGACCTGCGGGAACACATATGGGCCAGGATTTCTGACCTGGGCGAGGTGGGGTCTGATGTTCGAGTTACCCTTGTTAAAGGACACCAGCAGGGTTAGAGTGCCGATGCCCGCGGCAATCGGCGGGCTGACCTTGCTGCGCGTAACGGCAGGGACCCCCAGTCCATCCCCAAAGCTCAGGTCAAAGCTATGAAGCTGGGCCGTCTGTACTACACCCGCCTCCTACGATGGGGTACGACCGCCCTGGGGCTCTTCTCTGGCGAGCAGCATGTCGACGCCCAACCGCGCAGGAAAGCTTGTCGGCGCCCTCGGCGCGCCACGGCTCCCGTGGAGCCCAAGGAGGCCTCGGTCCACCTGCGCCATGTTTTCTCCCAGGTGCCCCATCGTAGTATATGGAGGTGTGAGTTTTGCAGGAAAGGCTCGAAGCTGGAACGGACCCGTCGTCGTCTCTCTTTGCTTGCATGCCCTGCTCGTTCGCGCGCTGCTGCTGGCATCCCTCGGCGCCCCTCCACTGTCAACCCCCCTGGTGACGCTGCGCGCGCCCAGGCCGACAATGGAGGGCAGATGCCGACGAATGAGGGCAGCAGCTTCGGTGCTGCGGTGCGACCTCGCTCCCCCTCGAATTCGCCTCGTTCGGTGCGCCCTCGGACGGGGCCCCCCGCGCGTGGCCATGAGCGTGTCCAAGGGGAGGTTGAGGCTCCCCCACCTTCCTCGGGCCTGGGTAGCCCTTCCTTTCCTCGCCCCCGCAGCCCCCCCCCCCCCCTTGCTTTGAACGACACGTCAGGCCACGCGTGCGTTTCGAGCCCGCTGCTCTTGTCTGGGATGGAGCCGCGAGTGTCCAGGCAGACGCCGCTGCCATGGTTCACCCTCTTCCTGAGCGCTCAGGACCTGCCTTCCTCCCTGACAAGCGGAAGCGGATTGGATCCAAGCGCCCAAGTCGGCCCTCGTTGGCCGACACTACGGTACCAGCCGCGCCCATGCTTGGAACGGGCCCTGTCCCTGCTACGGCCGCCCGCGGCCATCGTCTCTGGGTCTCCTCGGGCCACGTTTGTTTGTGTGTCTCCTGTGGTGCTTTCACTACGGGCACGGCTGGTCACCTTCTTGTTGATTGTCCGTCAGGGGGCCCCACCGTCTGTCCGAGCGGGCGGTGCGTAACCGACGTTTATTCATGCAGGGTTTTCATCCCGCGGACGAGGGGGCAGCAGGCTCTCGTAGAGCCCCCGCGAATCGTCCGCTTCTCGTTTCGGATCCTGAAACCCACTGGGTCAGGCTCCATGGGGGCCCACCTTCTAACCCAAGTGACGGGGCATAACCCCCCGCCTCTTTTGTCTGTGTGGCTGGTACCCGCGATCCTTTAGGTGGGGTCCCAGCCTTTTCGCAGGCCAGCCAGGCTGCATGCAGCTTGGCACCCTAGGTGGGCGCTCGTGCACCGCGCGACGCTTCCCTTGGCAGTGCCGTATCCTCCTCCTCCTCTTCCTCCTCCTCCTCCTCCACCTCCTCCTCCTCATCCTCCCATCCCTCATCTTCCCATTCCTCATCCTCCCATGCCTCCTCCTCCCCCCCATCCTGCTCCTTGTCTTCCTCCTCCTCGTCCTCCTCCTCCTCCTCCCCATCCTCCTCCTCCTCCTCCTCCTCCTCCTCGTCCTCCTCCTCCTCCTCTTCCTCCTCCTCCTCCTCCTCCTCCGCCTCCTCCCATTCCTCTTTCCATTCCTCCTCCTCATATTCCTCATCATCATCATCCTCATCATCCTCCTCATCATTATCAGCATCATCATCAACCTCATCATCATCAGGTGCATCATCATCGTTATCACCATCATCGTCATCACCATCATCATCATCATCATCATCATCATCATCATCATTTTTTTTTTTCTCCTCCTCCCCCCCATCCTTTTCGTTCTCCCCCTCCTCCCTCACCTCCTCCTCCCGCTCCTCCTCCTCCACCTTCTTCTCCTCCTCCTCCTCCTTCCTCCTCTCCTCCTCTACCTCCTCCTCCTCCTCCTCTCCTCCTCCTCCTCCTCTCCTCCTCCTCCTCCTCCCTCCTCCTCCCTCCTCCTCCTCCTCCTCCTCCCTCCTCCTCCTCCTCCTCCTCCTCCTCCTCCCTCCTCCTCCTCCTCCTCCTCCTCCTCATCCTCCTCCTCCTCCTCCTCCTCCTCCTCCTTCCTCCTCCTCCTCCTCCTCCTCTCCTCCTCCTCCTCCTCCCTCCTCCTCCTCCTCCTCCTCCTCCTCCTCCTCCTCCTCCTCCTCCCCTCCTCCTCCTCCCTCCTCCTCCTCCTCCATCCTCCTCCTCCTCCTCCTCCTCCTCCCTCCTCCTCCTCCTCCTCCTCCTCCTCCTCCTCCTCCTCCTCCTCCTCCTCCTCCTCCTCCTCCTCCTCCTCCTCCTCCTCCTCCTCCTCCTCCTCCTCCTCCTCCTCCTCCTCCTCCTCCTCCTCCTCCTCCTCCTCCCCTGCCCCCCGCGCGGACCAGCAGGTCCGGCGCACCGTGGAGCGCTTCTGCGGCCCCGGCCCGCCGGGCTCCGCGGCCCCGCGGCCGCGCGCGCCGGCGGACGGTTGCGCGTCGGGGCCTTCGCGCGCAAGCGACGGGTCCGACGGAGGTCGGTCGGCCCTTGCCGTCCCCAGACTGTTTCCTCTTCCTCCCTCCCCCTTCCCTCTCCTCCTCCCCCTTCCTTTCTCTTCCTCCCCCGCCTTCCTCCCATTCCTCTTCCTCCGTCCCCTCCTTCTCTCGATCTATTTTCCTCCTCATCCTCACCTTCATCATCCCTCATCCTTCTCCTCCACACTCCAAAAATGTCCCAAAAAGCCTCCAGGCATTCCAAGAGAGCTCTCAAACGGCCCAACAGGGCCCAAAGATGGCCCGAAGAGGGGCCCGTGACGGCCCAAGACGCTCCCCCCCGAAATATTTCAAATCGTAACCCAGCCGTTCAGGGAGACCGCGGTTGGAAGAACACAGGAGGCCTCCAGAAGCCCATAAAAAATGAGTGAGCCCCCCAAGAAGCCATCCAAGGTGGATCCTCCGCAACAAGAGCTAAGCACTCCTGGATTTCTGCGGCCTTTGCCCTCACGGGGTCCAGGGCCGACCGTTGGGCCCTCGGGCCCGTCCTCAGGTGGGCCCAGGAAGTGTGGAACACCACCCTCGGCAAGTTTGTGACCCCAGGGACCATTGGACTGCTCGAGCTCAAACAGATTTATAACCATGTGCAGCCAGCAGGACAATTGAGTTATAACGCCGTGCGAGGACCACTCAGCGCGGCAGCTCACGCGCTTCATCGTATTGGCTGGAGTTTCACATCCGCATTTACGCTGCAGGACCACTTTGGCAGGACAGTCAGGCTCACTGACACCTCGCCGAGCCTGCTTTCCGACTTGCTTCACCAAGGATGCCAGAGGAGATGGGAAACTATTGCCGCTAAGAGCATACCCAGCCCAACCCCCATGAAGAGAGTGTGTTTTGACGTTGTTCGTTCTCTGCTTTCCCCCAAAAGCAAGAAGTTACTCCCCAGGTTTAAGGCTATCCTCCAAACCCTCGTGGTCCAGGGATGGTGGACTGAAGAAAAACTCGCTCAGCTAGGCTATGACGTGCCTAACGAATGCCCGCTCTGTAAAGCCTTCGGGGACACCATTCACCATCGTCTCTTCTCTTGTCAACATCCAGAGGTAGTCGCCCTCAGGACAGAGCTGCTGCCGCCAGACGTTCTGCAGGCCGCGCTGGAGGCGCCAGAGAACAGCCCCCTGTACTGCTTCGGTCTTTTCGAGCACCCAGGGGAGCAGCATGATGATTTTCCGCTGCCCAGGGAGAAGCCCATTGTTCGATTTGTCAGACACGACGGTCAGCCAGACACGGTACCGCACTTCGGGGGGCTCACGGGAACCGACGGGTCGTGCACCAAGACAGGCATAGCGGAGTTAGACAGAGCGACGTTTTCGGTAGTGGCTTACAGTACCGACGGGGCCCCAGAGGCCTCCTTTTATGGCGCTGTTGCTGCCAACCTTCCCCAGACTTCTCAGGCTGGGGAGCACATGGGCTTCCTGGTTCTCCAGGAGGCCCTCACCAAACCTTCCAAGGCCTGGGTGGACTGCAAAGCGGTCCTCGATCAGCACGCTAGGCCACTGCCGACACGTCTCAGCAGTAAGCTTAAGTACTCAGGCCTGCACAAACTCGCGCTTGCGCGGGACAGCAGACACCACCTCGAGACGGCCTCTAAGGTCAAGAGCCATCAGGATGTGAACTCATTGGCTGGAGAGGCCAGACTCGCGGCAGAGATCAACACAGCAGCGGACAAGATGGCGAAGGCGGCAATGGACTGCCACCCAAGTTTCAACCCGACAGCGCTGCAGGAGCTGCAACGCAAAATAGAGGCCGCTCGAGCGATTGGTTTATATGCGCCCAGAGTTCTCGCCTTATGCCAGCGCAACAGGCACAAGTGCGAGAGAGCCGCTCTGCCCTGTAAGGTTCAGGCCACCATCGTCGTGCACGACTGGGAGGTTCTTCAGGGGCCGATACCGTACAGGTGCAGAGCATGTTTTACGTACGCCCGATCTTATAAGGCAGCTGTCGCACGTGACAGGCAGGCATGCCAGCCACTAGCCAGCGCATTCAGGCGCGGCCTTGAAGGCATCCACGCCAGCCATCAGATGGCAATAGCGCATTTTGCCGTGCCAGTTGTCTTTTGTTTAGTATGTGGGCGCTATGCCCAGTTCGCTTTCAGAGGCTTGCCTGCCACCTGTCCTGGACGCCCTCCCAAGAGTGGCGGACGTGCGAATATCAGAAATCGTCTTCTGGCAGGCAAGCATCCAACATATTCCGTTTTTGCTTCAGAGTCCGAGCGGTACAACACCGCAGAAATTCAAAGGCAGCAGCGCGCGCAGCGTGAGCAAGCAACAGCGCGCGCAGCGATGCCACTCCCGAGCCAGCCGAACCCGCGCTCGGTGCCTCGCCCACAGAGGTTCGAGGCTGGACGTGGGCGCCAGCAGCACTCCAGCAGGCGCCAAGAGGAGGATGGGGAACTCATCCCTCCTGTGGGTTTCGGCGAAGACGACTCGGGATCGTCGGACTAGGCCCCCTTCCAAGCCCCACCGCCATCTCGGCGGTGCTGCGCGCTTGTGAGGGGCCACCCGCCCGACGGTCTCTGCCCTGGGTCCCCGCCTATGGCACGCCCAGGCACCGTCGGGCCACCCCACCTGGAGGGTGACTGGCCAGAGCCGCGCGCGTATGGCCCGAGCATGGAAAAAAAAAAGGGAACGAATTCACAAGGTAGGACAATACTGTGAAGTTATCTCTATCTTCTCTTCATTCCTCTCTATGATTGCCCTTCCGCCTGTATGCCAACCATCGAAGACCTAGGCGCATGGTGCGAAGCGCCAATGCGGTTTTGTATGTATGCTTGTATGAGTGTATGCTTGTATGTTTCTGTGTGTATTATGTATACATGTGTGTATGTATGTTCGTATGTATGTTTGTGTGTATGTATGTTCGCATGGATTTGATTGTGTGTGTGTGTGTGTTAGCCAGCGTGTTCCCCAAACACTGTTGCTGCGGAGCGTCTTCGTCATCATCTGAGGGCTACGGCGCCTTTGCCGACGCCTTCAAAAGGCCCGCGGCCGAGCGATCGTGCGGCAGTGCGGACATCAGCGCTCGCCTCGTCTCGCCTTCCGATGCGGATGACGCTGGCGTGGCATCGCTCGTACGCGTGCATACTAAAATTTCGGCGAGGACCATCGAGGAGAATGTCAGATCACCTGCGAAAAACATGCACGCACTCAGCCAGCACATGCACGGGTTGTATGGACGCCCGAGCGATGGCGAGCTGAAGGAGCAGAATTGCCGGGGCCCTCCCAGGAGGCGCTCGTGCACGTCGGCGTGTGGTGCCTCGGCGAGTTCGGAGACCACCTCGTCTCCGGCCGCGCGGTGGGGCCAGGCCCCCCCCCCGCGGTGTCGGTACTTTGTGGTCTCCCCAGTCTTGGTCGGCCGTCGTCGTCGTCGTCGACGTCGTCGTCGTCGCGGCTGGCGGCGGTCGTCGTCGTCCTCTCCGTCGTCCGTGTCCGCGCTGCCTCGCGGGCCCGGCCGTTGGGCCGCGGCCCCTCGCACACGGGGCGCTGTCTTCGCGGAGAGCCCCGCGCGGCATCGTGCCCGTGCGACCGCGTATCCGCGAGGTCGCGCCCGGAGGAGGGGAAGGAGGTGGCGATGATCATGTTGATGTTGGTGGTGATGTGGTTGATGATGTTGGCGATGAAGCGGTTAGTCATGATGGTGGTTGTGATGGTAATGATGATGACGATTGATGTTGATGATGACGCTGATGATGATGATGGTGTTGATGCTGATGATGACCATGATTGTGATGATGCTGATGATGATGAGGAGGAGGAGGACCCGTGTAAACCAAAGAGTCATTCATTAACGATGTTGGAATTAATCCTCCCTCCAAGTTCCCTCTTCATAAGCCCCTACAGCGGTTCATGTCCATTGAGGGGACTGCCTCGTTGGAAGACACCCTTGAAGACCCTGAAGCATGCCAAAACATTGCTCTCGAGATTTTAACGCCACGGATCAACCTGACTGCTGCGTCTTGACGACCCGAACTCGTGCCAGAACGCGATCATAGGGACTTCAACACCGTGAAGCAACTTAATTGATGCACCCGCGTAATCATGAATCCTTCCAAAACGCCATGTTTGCTTCGTTGATCAGAGGAATTCGTGAAACCCTTCCAGTTTTATAAACGAATGCGCCCGGCGCTAAGGCGAGAGCCGCATTTTGAAAAGGAACCGCCTTCAATCCGTGAAACTCTTTGCACATATTTAAGACGTGCGCGCCGCGCTAAGGCGAGAGCCACATGTTGAATACGACCCGCCCTCAATCCGTGAAACTCTGGCAAATTAATAAAGCGAATGTGCGCGGCGCTAAGGCGAGAGCCACATTTTGAAAAGGAATCGCCCACAATCCGTGCTCATTTCAAATGTGTAAAACGAGTGTGCGCGGCGCTAAGGCGAGAACCACATTTTGAAAACCACCCGCCCTCCAACTGTGAAGTTGCTGTCTCTTTTTCACCTTCAGAGTCGTACGTGGTGAGGAACTCTCAGGCGAAACGCCTGGCCCGTCCTAAAACTGGCCTCGGGGTGCGGCAGGGAGAGATTATACTGCGAAAACCTCACGGCCGGTGCCGCCGACCCTGAAGTTGGGGAGGAGGGCGCGGAACACGGGGAGGAAGATGAGGAGGGGGACAGGAAGAAGAGGTGGATGAGGAGGACTAGGAACACAGGGGGGGAATGAATAGGAGGAGAGTGAGGCGAGTAGGGTCGCATGTGCAGGTGGATGAGGGGGGCGCGAAGGAAAGGCAGGGGCGAGTAGAGCGTGGCGATCATGAGGAGGAGAATGAGGAAGAAAATGGCGAGGATGTTGACGATGTTGGCGACGACGCCGGTTGCCTGTCAGGATCATTCGGGGCGTCTTGGAGCCCTCTGGGGCGACTT